CCCTGGCCCAGGCTGCCCCGGGAGGCTGTGGAGTCTCCTTCTCTGGAGATATTCAAGCCCTGCCTGGATGTGGTTCTGTGCAGCCTGCTGTGGGTGACCCTGCTTGGGCAGGGGGTTGGACTGGGTGACCCACAGAGGTCCCTTCCAACCCTGACCATTCTGGGATTCTGACATCATCACCCACTTGAATTTTGAATCTTGTAGTCTCTGTCCTGTTCTTGCAGGTTTTTCCTTGTGTGGCACGTGAAGGGACGTGGTCCTTGTGGTTTTGAACCAGGCAAGGCTGGGGCATCTGGGGGTTGTGCAATGAAAGCTCCTACCTTGGCTCTCCTACCCTTGCGAGTCAAAATTATTTCGTGGAAAACCAGACGCAGACCGTTCCTCCTTTGATTATGTGACTCCAGTGATTTATTTATCATGGGGTTTTTGGAGGATTTTTCCTTTTATGTGGGCGAAGGGCGTCGGGAAGAAGTACAGCAAGATACGACTGTACCGTTCTCCTAGCCTCACGTAGGTTTAGTTGTGCTTTCCTTTGAGTGCCGCCCTGTTCTGAAGAGTTTGCGTTGCCTGCTAGCATAGCTGCACTTTGTGAAAGTTGTTCCTGAGTGGGTTTGTAACTAATAGGTGCAATTTCTTACTCTTGGTGTTGATAACACATCTTTTCTTTGCTGTTAATGAGTGTAATTTAGAAAGTGTTAGTCACCCTGCCATTATAACGATCTCCAAGTAGTTCTCAGAATGTTGCGTCATTTTTTATTTATTTTTTTTAAACCAACATCGTTAACAAATTCCAAATCAGTGTGGAAACACAGTGTGCAGCTTCTATTTTCAGCAGCTGTATAACTGCCTTTTTTTTCATTATTTTTGCTTGTGTTTGCAGGACCGCTGAGGTTTCTTTCCCAGACCGAATCTGTCACGGCGTTTGCAGGGGACACCGTTCTGCTGAAGTGCGAAGTCGTCGGGGAGCCCATGCCCGTGGTGCACTGGCAGCGGAACCAGGAGGACCTGTTCCCGAGCCCGGGCGACACGCGGGTGGCCGTCCTGCCCTCCGGAGCTCTGCAGATCAGCAGGGTTCAGCACGGGGACAGCGGGATCTACCGGTGCCTGGCGAAAAACCCAGCCAGCTCCAGAACTGGAAATGATGCGGAACTCAGAATTTTGGCAGGTAGGAACCGCACCCTTCCATACCACCTTTTTCTCTTCTCTGGTTGTGTCCTTTGGTTCTCTGAAAGAGCAGTTGCTCCTCTTGGGGCTGCTAGGCAGATTTAGCCCACTTTCTTTCCAGTCACTTCTACAAGCTTCCAAGTTCTTCTTCACATGGAGGAGCCTGGAGACATTTAGAAGCAGTTGGATGCAGAGGGTGAGGAGTTGACACCTTAGAAAGGCATTCATGCTGCCTAACTAAGAACTTCTTCCCTCTGAGGGTGATGGAGCACTGGAACAGGCTGCCCAGGGAGGTTGTGGAGTCTCCTTCTCTGGAGATATTCAAGACCCGCCTGGACAAGGTCCTGTGCAGCCTGCTGTGGGTGACCCTGCTTGGGCAGGGGGTTGGACTGGGTGACCCACAGAGGTCCCTTCCGACCCCTACCATTCTGTGATATGAAAGTGGTCTCTTTTACATGGTCAACGGAGAGAGACAAGTATTTTCCATCTCATGGTGTTGGTGAGAACACTGGAATTACTGTCCCAGAGCACGCTCTGGAAGGGTTCCTCCTGCTTCATTGACTGAAAGGGCAATCTGGTGGGACTAGCTGCTGGATTTACCTACTCAAAGTTGGGCTCCTTGGATACTTCAGTGCTTGGCGGGATCTGCCAAGTTGCATATGCTGCAGTTTGGGATCCACCACAGTTGGACTGTAACGGGTAATGTTCCTAAGTTCATGGCCAAGTGAGCATCTTGCTCTCCCTCTGAATAAACTCATCAGCTAGATCGATGGTTACTACTGCTGTTGGGTATCAGCGACTGAGCACCAGAAGAGTGGTCTGAAGAAGGTATTCCTGCAAAATCTCCTTCCCTTCTAGTTCTGCACGATAACACATAACCACTAATTAAATGGGACAGAGATGGTGTGTTTTTAGAAATTTCTTATATATGTGTTTTCTAGATGCATGTTGTTGGCTCGCATGATTTCTCACTAAGTGAGAGGTAACTGAGAGACTTCTGCAGTGGTCCAAATGCTGTAGAAATTAGGAAGGCCAGGTTCAGTCCTAGGGAAGCGTCCACATAGCGACAACGTGTGAAACTTGAGTTCATCCTTACTTCTAGGAGTGATTTGTAATAGCTCTGGGATTTATTGCCGCGGAAATTGGGTGGATTATAGTTTCTTCTGCGTTTGTGATTTGACACCGAAGGAAACAAGCCAAACGCCCACCAACACCTTCTTCCCTTTCCCAGTTTCGGTTCCTCATGCGTTGGGCAACGCTGGGCGTTCCTGCCTCCGCCCTTATTAATATCAATTTGAGGGGGGAAATAGAACGGGGTTTTTTTTTTTCAAGGGTCTTGATTTTAATCAAGCACATCACAAAACTTTGTGTTTTAGACCTGGAGGACTCTTCTCAGCCTCCTCAGAGTATTGTTAATTTGCTGTCCATCTACACGTCTGGTCATTTGTGGATGGACTGATGTTTCTTCCCTTGCCCAGTTTCTGTCGTTAACGTCCTGGCTAAATGGCCTTTCTCAGGCTGTCTCTAGCGAGAGGGGAATTAATTTATCTCTTCCCAGCATCTTAAAATTTGATACCAGGGAAACACTGGAGCAAATAATGAGGGAAGCAGATAACGAGGAGCTAGTGGAGTCCATCAGACTTTGGCTTAGGGCAAGCGGCACAAGGTCTCATTTCAGGATAACACGAGCAGGCAGGAGCTCTTAGAAGAAGTGAGCGGTGCTCCTGAAACAAAAATTCAGATCTTGCCGAACCTCGTGGGGATTTCGCTCTCTTGTGCACGCTTTGATGGTTGAGAGCTATCTGATACTTTGCTGCTAATGCTGCTGCTCCTGTTTTTGCTCGTTGGTAGAAATCTGTCTTCAGTTGCAGCTCTCCTCTCCCGTAATTAGTGAAGGCAGAATACTCTTGTTGGCCTTTTTCCCCTGGTTAGTGGGGAGAAAAAAAAAGAAGAAAAGTCTTAAATCCTATGCAAAGGAATAGGCGACAAAACAAAAAACCAGCCTAGGTAGTATATCATAATTCTGTTTTTTTAAAACACTGCTTTTTCCACAGGCAGTGGTTGAGATTTGTTTGAACCCACAGCATCTCTGTCAGGATTTGTGGCGAAACGGTCCACGACGCTGGCAAATAATTCCTAATCTTCTCTAGGGCTGCCAAACAGAATGCAAGAGGAAGGGAGGAGGGATAAACTTCTTCAGTCACTTAGTTTCTGTAGTCGAAGTGCCTGTGGCTGAAATATTTGATTTGGTGTTGTGGTGGGTCTGGAGATATCTGCGTCTCCTCTTGATAGAAAAGTTCATCATCTGACATGAGTCAGGTTAGAAAAACAAAACATTGGGATGAAGAAATTCCTGATTTTCCTGGACAGAAAAGTCAAATTCACCCAGTCGGACCCAGACCTGTAGTTTAACTCGCCGTGTAAATGAAGGAATAGTCGAGCCTTTAAGCACTGTTCGTAGAATCATGGAATGGTTTGGGTTGGAAGGGACCTTAAAGATACCACAGATATCATAGAATGGTAGGGGTTAGAAGGGACCTCTGTGGGTCATCTAGTCCAACC